GATAAAGACTCGGATCGATAAGGAGTATCGATAAAGGTATCGATATCAATAAATATTAACGATCCCCATCCCTACACGCACGTAGTGTAAAAGCGCTTTGAGTGGTCGGAAGACTAGAAAGGCGCGATACAAGTAGAAGTACAGGTCCATTTACCATTTACCATATATTCGGTCCCCCATTAAACACAGTCTCGGTGACACAGGCACCATCGAACTTAACCACTTCCCTATGTATTCTAGTACTTTTAATTTCCAAATTATTATTGTCAGTAAGCCCATCCTGTGGAGTTTAGAAGGACTACAATAAAACCATGTTATTAACCATGTATTAACCTAAACTCAATACATTTCCCCCTACCTTTCCGAACATATTTCCCGGTATTTGATCATATTTTTAGAGGTTCCTCATCACTGAAATCACATCCTAGGTCTCCTAGGCCAAACAATCCTCAAATTTTCATAGATATCTTCTTGTAATCTGTTCACGTTTTTATTGAACAAAGCTGCCCTGTGTACTATACTAGACAACTGCATTAACTCCATCACTACATTATTGCCCTGAATTAACTGACCCTTTGTGATACAGTCTCTTATTTGTAAGTACTTCTAAAAATTAACATTACTTTTTAAATTGTATTTTTCCACAAGGTCGCTTTTATAAGCCATTCATTCCAGTAAAGAGACTTCTTCCCAATACGTATGGCTGGGTTATGCCAGAGAGAGGTATATGATTGTATGAAGTGCGACACACCACACATCCTGTGCAAACTTCCTTAGAATGAGACAGTACAGGGTTTGAAGACTGATCATGTCTATTAATAGTTGAACAATGTGAGAGAACATCTAAAGGTTTGATAGGGCTTACTAGCTCGTGTTTGATTTTGATTCAGCTCCGCTCTGGGTCCATTCCAGTGTTCCAGTGTGTCAAATGATAGATTGTATAACCTTCATATATGTAAGATGCATAAGCCTTCGCATGTTATCAACTGAGGACCTTTTTTTAATAAAACCTACTTGATCTCCATGTATAATGTCTGGTAGTATTTTCTCTAAATAAAAAGACATGGCTCAGAGGTAGAGCGGGTCGTCCACTAATCGGAACGTTGTTCCTTCAATCCCCGGCTCCTCCTACTTTATTTAAATGATAAAAAGCCTTATTAATTTCCCTTGATGAGGTTACTACCCCATTACCCCTCTTAAGAATGTTACCTCTTAAGTATGCCTTAGATGCTTCCCAATCAAAGGATATTTTTTCTGTGGAGCCAATATAAATTTTTCATTATTCATTTTACAGCAGTGTAGTATTAATTGATCTGTATTCAACTCAAAACGTGCAACTCCACTGTGCTGCGGCCAACATGTCTATTAAAGTGTTAAAATGAATCCAGGAATGAGACTTGTGGCAGTGATAGTAAAAAGTAAAATTCAAGTCCTCCACCAACATCTGTATTGCAGCTCTATCCCTGGGTTAAGATTTACCACCGGGTTTTTTTCAATCATCCCATCTATTACCTGGTTGAAATCCCCTGCCAGTATAACTTGGCTCTCAATATTTCACTTGATTCATTTCATGAAATTTCTTTCTTATAGGTGCATATATGTTTCATAACACAGTCCTAATTCTGTTGATCAAGGCAAACAAATCAATTTCTTGAGTCTACTTTAAAAGTCTGCTTTCCCTGTCATTGTGTTGTTTTAGCATAACCAATTTTTTTATTGATGAGAATCATCACCCCATTTTATTTACTTGAGTAGGAGATATGAAAAACTACCTAGCCTTTTTTTAAATTTCACTCTTCACTGTTATATGAGAATCCTGAATAAATGCTCACATCCATCTATGTTCCATGATATTATATTAATGCACCCGTTAGCCATCATCTATAAACCTGTAAATACCTTGGGTCTGTGACTGCAATGTGCACATCATGTCAGTAATAGTAACAAAACAACTGTTAACTGCTGCTAACAGTCCTCCCATTTAACTCCACATTTCTCCTTGACCTTGTCCTGGACCGATGAACATTGTGGTCCGGGGTGGCCCATGTTTTCCTCCATTCACAGGTTTATGTCTTCTATGTTTCATATCCGTTGTAGTAGAGTAGCGCTCTACAGGTGGATTTTGTTTGAGGAAATATGGAAATTTCCTCACATGTCGCCATTCCTTCCAGTGCAAGATTTAGAATCAAGTACTATTTTCAGTTTGTTCAGTTGTGGGTTGTTCTCAGGTGTCAATGTCAAGGAGGCACGCTCCAAATCTGATGTTTAAGAAGGTATAGGAACTGTCCTATATTGGTGCAAGTCAGTGCTCTGTGGAGGCCGTCTTTGCAAGAACTGGCCCACTTGTAAGCCAGTTTACAGCCTGTAAAAAACATCCGTTGTAAGCTGGGCAATAGTTGCAGAAAGTGGCCATGAGCGAATATTGTGGCAACCTGTGTAAACCTTAATTGTAATCTAAAAGATGGATAGATTGGGGGACAGACAAAGACACAGTTAGTGAGAAAAGACAGAAACATTCTTGGGACATTCTTTTTCTATTTAAAGCAGCTATATGCACTATTTTTCAAGCCAGTTAAGATAATAGAATACCTGTACAGTGCATTTGGGAAAATCAAGTTGGTATTGGCATATATGTTATCCATTAGGTAAACAGTTTTTAATTTAAATGTTAGCTTAAACTGTGTAAGCTGTATGATACCATTATGCTAGGGGATACAGACGCAAATGATAGCTGCAACTGTCTTCATCATTCTGAAAACAGAATACAAGAAATGTTGAGGATGACTAATTTTCACTCCTGCCACCTAAAAAGAGGCATCCTGACCTTGTTAACTGGTGACTTTTAGCCCAATGCGTCACTCACAGTGACAGCAGCTGTTGAACTGAATGTTCAGTATATATTTGTCTAGAGGAATTTGACAGTTTGATAATACAGAGAAATTCAGTTTGATTCCCACATTATAAGAACACTATGAAAGGGTAAATAAGTCTTGCTGTGCACAATTTAACGTATGCAAATGTTAAGAGTAGATATTAGACACAGATTAACATTGATTTATGATTGAATTGAATTTTATTGTACAGGCAAAGCAGGTTTAGCAGCCACAAAAGCCACACAATCCTTTGGTGAATTCGCCCCACAGTTATTTTTTCCATTGTTTTGGAGTTGACGGGAAATTATGGAACCTTCTTGTTTCATCAGTTCAAGGCATCTCCTTCAGATGCCATGAAAGCTAGAGTTGTTCCGATTCCGATACCAGTATCGGAAATTGCTCCGATACTGCCGAAAATGCTGGCATCGGTATCGG